CCGTAACACTGAAATGGCTTCCCATAGGAATGGTTATCGTATGAGTGGGAAACGCATGGTACTGACTTACAGCATGTACGCGGTACGACATGCCGGAACACTGAAATGTCTTCACATAGGAAAACTCCCTTGATCTGCAAGACCTAACAAGCTAAATTCCAGATTAGCCGTGCCTGACTTAGATCAGCCCAGCCCAATCTATGAATTCATCATGCCTGGGTGTTTAGTACTATTCATTCAATTCTTTTTCTTTTTTCCAGTACTGTGAATGATGCGCGCTTACGTTGCGATTCATGTGACGTGTACAACGCCCTTTTTGGAAGACTCACTCCAACATGTGTTCCTGCTCAAGGGGTAAATGATACTAATGTTCTATTGGCTGTTAGGAGATCTGTAAGGAGGAGTAAAGGGTGCTATTGGCTTCAGGGGTTGGGCGATAATTCTTGATCAAGGTGTCGGGGATAAGAATGATGGGTTCAGGGAATGGATTGGGTGACTATCCAACATTCTTTAGAGCTTAAAAAAATCTAAAGTCAAAGCTATGTAGGACTCAATATGCAATACGGTTAAGAGTATCAGTGTTCTATGTGATGGGATGTCCTCCACGAGGGGAGGGGGGGGGGTTAATGTAAGGGGGTATGGGATTTTAAGTGAACACCTTGATGATTATTTTACACATGGAGAAACTCAGTCATAATAATTCGTATCACATATCATTTACAGATGGGTATTGTTATTGACCTTAAAGAGAAGAAGATCATGAATCTGTCCCCATTAGCCATACCAGGATCACCGGTGAGTCGTGTCTCATTCTGGTGCTTCACGCAGTTAAAGGCAAATTGAACTAGCTTCAAATATCTGTACTTTCTGAATATTTTATTTTTTGGTCATGAACAAAACAATCAAAAGTATTCCACTTTTCTCGTCGTTCTTGAATGAGGAAGTCAAGGGTGGCTCAGGTAGACCCTGTCATTTCTAGCGTCTCAGGATCGATTCCTGGAATCTACATCACATGTGATTAGAGTTTTGTTAGGTCTCTACCTTTATTCCAGGGATTTCACCAGTTTTTCTCCCTCCACACAATATGACACCCTAAATTCCATTAGGCATTTTCACGTTGGGCTTAATGTTTTCCCATTTCAGACAACGTGTAATTCCCTAGAGTATCATTTCTTCTTTTAACGGTTGCAAATAAGAAGACGCATGAATATAGATACAACTTTAAACATTACGCTCAAGCTGAGGTCTAGTCGTAAAAACCTAAAGGAATTGCCCTATTTCATAATGACGTCACGGTTTGTTTACATCGGCTAAAATGTTAGAAATTTGGGCTAAATTTAAGCTTAATTCTCTTCTTTCGAGATATTTAGCACAATATTTAGTTGTTCTTGCCTTCACCAGCTCATAAACCAAATTTCATTGTGATTTAAGTTGTGTTGTTTTCATTCCATCCCCCTCCAGCGACCATGATCCCTAGCGTTAAAACAATATGTGACGTCATTATGAAATAGGGCAACTAGTAAGTCCGGTATTTTTTTTTTTTTTTTTTTTTGCGTTTTCCTTTTTAGTCGGGATCAGTAAGTGATGGGGAGTCCACCGCGTCCAAGAAGAGTCACAAGAGAAAAAGAAAGACATCTCGTCCACACTCGCCCAGCGGTGAGTTAGTTTATTCTAACTACAATATGATACAATCTTATATAAACATCATGTGTTCCTGACTATTCTGATTGGTTGATCGGTGAATTGGCGAGCTGTGATAAGTTCATAGGATGTAGTCAACTTCGTTCCGTGACAGTGCCATGACGGAGCGTTTTGATTAGATAAGCAGTGATTTTGGCGCGCTCGATTGGTTGAAAGGATATTGTGAACTCTGTAACGTGACGGTGCTGTGACCGAACATTCTGATTGGATAAGCGGTTATTTGGTGCACTTGATTGGCTCAAACGATGTTGTGCACTCACATTCATACGACAAAAAAAAGTACATACCTTTGACGCTTCTTTTATTGTTTTTTTATAGATCTGAGTCATATAGATTCACAGCCAGGGACACCAATGAGCATGGAATCTGCTTGTTCTGAAGGCGCCAAACTCAAGCTAAAAATAAAGGTACTAAAATCAAACAAAATGCTATCTTGTTCTTTTTCCAGGCATTACTGGTTG